TTTTCACTATAAATACTTTATATGCGTGTTCAACGGGCCACAACCCAGCCCACATTGGTCTTTGAAACAGGCGGCTAGAGTCCTCTCGTCCTCTGGCTTGAGATGGCTGCCACCTATGGGTCAGATGATTGCCTGCCACCATTAAGCAATTGGTAATTAAATATAAAAAAAATTTACCTAAAAAGTGTAAAATTTTTGAAAAAAATTTTCACGAAAATAAATTGTCACGCACAACGAGTCTGTGTGCAAAATGTCAGCTCGATTGGATCACGGGAAGTGGGTTAAAAAACGACCGAAATATTTGCACTGTCGTAAGCGCGCAAGCAAGCAAGTGAACTTAATATAAAGGATTTAAAAAGGTGCACACTGAGGCTGTATTGACATTATTAGAAACTGCAGTGGACTCGTGGCAAGCACGTCTTAATACGATTTGTACGTATAAAATAATATCTACCGAGTTTTTGATTGGCTGACCTGATATTCGGTAGGGGGTACTGCATGCCTCTCACATAACATTTTAACACTTAGAGTGGCTCTCACGTTTCACTTCTCTCGTCGACCAAGCTAAGCAAACGATCACCGTGAAATCCACAGCCTAAGACTCGACCAAGATTCCACAGGTTGTCACCGACTAAACTAACATTTTTCAGAAAAACTCACTAAATGAACACGGCCCGACGCGTCACGTCGCCCGCTCTTTGTCTCCTCCCACCGTCACCGTCGGCTCCGTGCAGATCCTGTGCTGGGACGAGAAGGCGTTCTACGTGGAGCAGCGAGTCATCATGCAGAGCGATGGCTTCGTGGCGGCCATCGCGCTGGCGCGGCTCAACGTGACGGGCACCAGCCCCGAGCACATCCTGCGCCTGCTGTGCCGCCGCGCCGTCCAGGGGCCCGACCCGCCGCCAGAGGTCCTCAGCTGGCTCGAGTACAACCGCCAGAGCAGCGAGATGCTGCGCAACAGCAGCTAGGGTGGTGGGTGGGTGGGGGGCCGCACGCTCGCTCGCTGTCCATGGGCCAAAGCAGAAATCGCTACCGCCGAAGGTGGCAAAATTTGTCTTAAAAAATTTGAAGAATTACCTTAAAAATCACTCGATGGGAAAACACGTTAGCGACATTGCCCCCCAAAAGCAGAAACTGCTTCAAACTAGGTCTGTGAAGTACAACTTACCTTCGTGAGAGCCTTGCACTTTTAAAATGGTACGAATACCAAATGTACATGTCATTTGATTTAGCGGAAGCCATTCATGCATCCAGCCAAAAAATAATAATTGTATGAGAACCTACACCTTAGGTGGTACTGACAAGTGAAATATCTGGTCTTGGCCCATGGAACTTTAGCACTGGAGCCCCACTAGTGCCAGAGACAAAAGTGTCTGACAACTAATATTGATGAATTGTACCGAGATTAAACTTGTCATGTCGCTAGCAGGTTGCGTGTTGTAAATGTTATCGTATTGCTCAGGTGATTTTGCTTTGGCACTAGAGGCAAACTTTGCCACCGCGTATTGTATGGTTATTTAAAAGTTGTGCGTGTGCAATCTCCAAATATGTCATCGTTATGGAATGTAATGAGCCCGTTTAGAGCGGTTAAGCAAGCCAAAGCTCGTTTCCATTCATGATTTCAAAGCGGACCCACCGTCTCTGTCATTAATTCAAAACGGCAGTAAATAGTGAATGTTTTTAATTGTCCTTATAATTGTGGCTTTTCCTGTCCATTCTTTTTCGCCCATATCTGGCCGCGTGGTACAGTCGTGAGCAGCATGCCTCGCAATGCAAAAGTTGTGAGTTGAAGTCCGGTTATGGGGTCGACTCGTTCCCCCATCGCTCCCAGGCTGATAAACCGAGTATAGCTTCGTGGCAACTCTACATTCCGCATGTAATGTTGTATCATTGCACCGTTGATAAACGTATGATTTAAAAAACCGAGAAACATTGATAAACCGAGTATCATTGATAACCGAGTACAGCTCCGTGGCAACTCTACATTACGCACCTAACGTTGTATCATCGCATTGATCCATATCCATCCTTACTCTCGCGACGCACGGATTGAGTCACGTGTGAGATTCAATGACTTAGTGCATGCAATCGATACACAAAAGATAGGTTAAATGTTAATTTTATGGTGAAGGAGGAGCAAATTAAGCTTCAAACGGGACACAATGAATGAGAGACACCACGAAGGAAAAGACAGATGATTATAGATATTTTTGAATTGCGACCTCGAATGAATCGAATTTCTTGGGGGAGGAGGTGAATTGTTTACGTGTGGAGTCAATTGCGGCCGTCACAAATTGGAAGAATGTAGGCCTCAACTCGGTGTTATGTGCCTAACTTTAAACCGAGCATCATCATACGGCACGTAAATGTACAGCTCTATTGTCGGTCCACTGCTGACGAGTAAGAACATTTGATATTGAGTCCAGCCCGTCACGAATGCGCATTGTTCCCACGTTGAAGAAGGCTCTCTGAAACAACACCGTTTTGGGTCTGTTGTGGAACTGGCTCAGACTCGGGGATGGATCCCGAACATGAGCTGGTAGCGTGCTCCAGGTCTTTGGGCCGGAGACCCCGAAACTGCACTGGCCGTATCGCACGCGAGGTTTACACGGTGCAGCAGCAGGTCGCTGCGAGCTGCGGATCGTGGCCGGAGTCGATTTGGGTCTGATGAGGCTGGACAAGGGCATTGCCTACGCCATGCAGGTCATGGGGGCTATTTGACCATGCTTCACCGTGCTGGCAAGTGCCAATCGGTGAATGTGGGGAGCATAGTACAGTCAATCAATGGATGTGCTCTGTTGCCCACCACATAGCCCCATCATGCGAAGGTGTGAAAGAACTGTGTCATCTGTTAAGCGTTCCCTGTTGCGAATATGGATTGATAACGTCGTTGAAATACGCAGAAATGTCGTGACTCAGAGGTATAATTTAAATATTTATGTCAATAAAGCAGCACTTAAAAATAAAAGTTGCATTGGTCGTCTTGTTTGATAACATTCGTTCGGATTTCCATAGAGCAGCAATGATGACATTATGCTATTTAATTAATTGCATTAAAAGACAAGATGACATGGAATTAGATGGAATGTCATCAATTTAAATGCTATAAGCAGAACATCTATCGTGTAATTAAGGGCTCTGAATCTTGCTTAATTCCCTTCATTGTGTGCATATATTGACACCTCTTTACATCAGCAGTTGAACCAATCACATCCTTAATGTTTTGCATGCGACTTTTCGTATAAAGGCCCAACATAGTCTAAATCTTGCTACATTTGTACTGTAGTCTGTTAGGCTTGTGTCTTTACTTTTGGCTAATGGGTTGGTGCCATTAAAATATTAGTGGTATCTTAACCAAACGGCTCGTGAAAGTGTACCATTACCATCAACAGGCAACAACCTAAAATGTTTTGTGTAGCTATCTTCCCAATCGATTGTTTCACCCTTGATTTCTTGTGACTCTACTGCTAGATGTAGGCATCCCCATGCCGTGTCAGTAATGGGGATTGTATATGGCCATGATTCACTCTGGTCAATGCCGGGTTGCTGAAGAGGGGTGGGTTCCAGTGCAGGTATCACTCGCCGCTACCGTTGGCTAATAGGAAGTACGGTAAATATATTGCCCATATCGAGATGGATCGTCACAAGGGTATCGGTGCAGCATTGCATCGTGAATGTAAAATTTTAAGCCCAGAATACATGCATCGATTCGAGTGAAGGTCATTAAATGCAATTTTCACTGCAATGTTCACTGCAATGTTCACTGCAATGTTTACTGCGATATTCAATGCAATGTTCACTGCAATTCTAAAATACTTTCTCAATTACAACTAAGAATCTCTGAACCCATTTAGCTTACAATTACATTTTGAAATACTACCCCAGGTTATGACACGAAATATAAACATTATTTGACATGGAACTTATCCAAAAAATATAAACTGTTTGCATGCATTTGAAAATAATTGCATACTTTTCCATTTTAGTGACATTTGTTCCACCCGTTTAGGTAAAAAAAACCCCCACTAATTTCCACAAGCTGGCTTCTAAAATGTTCAGTCAAAGAGTAAACATTTAATTCAGAAGTGTTAATTAGTACAGGACACTGTCCAGTTGGCATGTACATTTGAATTAAGTGGGTATACAGTTGTCCGTAGTTGGTCTGGTACTTGCACAGATATGCGGACAGAATTCATAATGCCAAAGCACTCTAATGCTGAAGGTGTGAAGAGCATTATTACCAAGTTGTCAGGCAAGTCTGCTGCATAACCTTGGGTTTAGAGCTAAGTGCATAGCACTTAAGGTAGTTGAGACACGCTGATTATAGAGGGCTTCTGTGCAGTACACAACCCAATATAACCCGTTACATAAGCCAATCGGATTCTTATTTCAAATATCGGCACCGCATTTACAATTCACATCAAAGGAAGTATGCTTTTCATGGTCTGATCAATCACTAAAAGTTAAGAAGCTTACACAAATGAGATGAAAGGCAATGGGTTCTGGGTCCTTGACGGAATGCATCAACTTTCAAGGAAAACATGCTTTAAATATGCGTATTTTCAAACGTCAAATATTTTTTTAAACAATCAGCCATGATCAATCCACTACTGGCTGACTTCCCAAGTCTTCAGCATTAAAAATCGTGCGACATAACAATCCACCTAGCATCTGCACGGGAGTAGATTTCATCGATCCATCTCCTCCGAGGTCGTCCTCTCTCAGATGCATCCCAATCCCTGGTTGCCACTACATCATTGGTCACCGTCACTTTATAATAGTGCCGTGACCTGCCTAAGACCGCTCACTTTTCTTCAGCGTGAATGATGAAGTTAACACGTGAATGTTCCAAGTGTTCCTCTTTCTCGATCTCAATGTATATTCCAACGATGCGTCTCTCTCCCATGTTTTTACGCGCACTTTTTTTTTCTCTCTCCGTGTTCTGTGTCGATGACCTTCCAACTGAAACCGCGTCATAGCAGGCAGTATGCAAAAACAAGTGTATGCACATCATTTTTATTTTTTGTTAAAGATGACACGATTACACAGGGGTGGATTTAAAAAAAATGTACATTAACTTTAAACGTTACATTGTACAGGCAGTATTGTACAAATGGAAGGAACATGTCAATGTCCAGCTGAATTACATCATGCCACAATTTCCCACTTAAACCTGGATCAAGTTTACTTGACTTACGCAATTAATTTCCCAGTGGTTCACAAAGCTAATTGCTCAAAACCGCGAGCCAATGCCTATCCATTGGCTACTAGGAAAGCACTGGCAGACACCAACAGTGGCACCATACTCAGCTGTCCCTGAAAGCCCTCTAAATATGAAGTGTTGACCCCATCGTCAGCTCATGTGACTAGCTGCATGGCGGCTGCACGGCAGCCCACCGTAGAAACATTTTACAAAAGCACCGAGTTAACATACACTATGACATCGTATAACACGGTTGCTGAAGACGTTCAGATAATCTCCGCTAAACACACTAGGGCATAGGTCACGGTTCAGCTCTCCAATGTGTTTTCCGGTTGTACCATTCGTTCGGATTGACGTCCGACGTTTCGCTCCAAGTCCTGGGGAGCTTTGGGAACTGAGAGCCTCCTTCAAGAAGGTGATGGAAGAGGCTCCCACAGCATAGGAGCGAAATAGATGTCAGAAGCCAATGGATCACGGAGCAGCTCCTCGTGTTGCGAGCTATCCCTTGCCTGCACCGCTCGTTCTTAGCTCCGGGTGAAGTCGTGGGGCTTCCATCTCTGTGCAAACTGCAGCACCTTCTTGCGCTGCTCCTCGAATGGCTCCCGAAACGGCTTCCGCCAGCGCCGCGGCTCCAGGTCCATCATGCCCCCCAAGATCTCCTGCAGGCGGCACAGGGAGGAGAAGAAAGCAGCCCGGCACAACCACCGCATTTTTAAAATATCGGCCCTTCAAAACAATAAATAAATCGTAAAAGTCTCGCAGTTTTGTTCCAATTGTCATATCCGTCTGCATCATGTACACACACTTGCTGGAGATGTTCAATAATCCCAGCAGACCACGCTAAGGCATAAGTGAGAGCGAGTTTAGTCTCTCAAGATAAAACCCATCTGGAATTATCGCGGAGCGGTGTAAGCTGTAGTTTTGGAGAATGCCCCGCGGAGGCGGATATCACAATTGACCTCTTGGGTCCAAATTAACAGAAAGTAACACAGTAGGGGGCAGCACTTTCATACCCGCTCTGCATATCAGAATAATGTTTGTCAGTAACAGTAAAACCGATATTTGAATTCTCACGTGAAATAAAGCCAAATTCAGTGGACAACCGAAGGTAATGTGATGAGTTTTTGTGCAGCGACTGATAAAATGTAAATTTGTGTAAGGAAATACAAAACTCTGTAGGCAGCAGAGGGGGCAGTGCAGCACAATCGATTGTTGTACTGTGCTTATATGCTCGCTAGTCCATGCTCACCACCTTCGCCAATACCCACTGATGGGCGTGGTTAAGTATGGCAAGTAACCCCTCATTCAGCAGAGGGTTAATAAAGGTCTGTACATCGACATGTATTTGGGTGAACAGGCACAAGTGCACATGCACCACTCTCACTCTGCTCCTTGTTCACCTCATACAAGGATTTTCATTTCCCAGTATACCCACTGACTGCCACGGCAATTGTTTTCCCCCTCTCCTTCACTTTGCGATGGCATTTATCGAAAACATATACAAGATCAGGCTCCAGTGAGTGCGTGCAGTAAAGATCTTTTCCCTTCCAGTGTAAATTTGCGTCGTGGAAACCGATCATGGCTCTCCGTGCCCACAGTGCATTTACACATGGGCACGAGTATGCCAATGCGTATATTTATTTATAGCTCTTCGTAAATCTACTGCTGGATGGATGAAAGCCTCACCATACCGTGTTGGTCATGGGTATTTTTTTGACTATACTTCACCATGCTGGTCAGTACGGATTTCTTAAGGGATAGGGGGCTGCTCAGGGACAGGGTTTGGATATTGATCGCCCCTGATGTTATGCGTGGCTGGCAATCGAACTCGGACCGCCGGGTTCATCACGTATTGTGCGAACGACTGTGCCACCACCCCAACGCTGCATCCCCGCATGTTTAGCGATGTGCACTGGACCTGAATACACATGCTTGCTGCAACCCCGTTGCACCCAGTTATGGACTGCAAGGCTATGGTAGTTAATCAGCCTGCAATGGAAAATGAATTAATTTCAAACCACTGCCAAGAAAGAATAGTGGGGGAAAAAACCGATGGCAAAACATTTACATTCAAGCAATTACTCAACCACGCTTGATGTTGAAGGTTACTTGCGCGTGTAGAAAAATAGATAATGCGTTCTGAAAAGATGCGGGGCATTTTGCTCATTACACACAATCACCGCAGCGAATTTAAAATAGACAAAAAAAACCACTGACAGCCAATGAGCATGGAAAAGCGAGAGAAAGAAGAAGAAAATATACCACAAGCTCAAATTCCAGCTGTCTTGCACGATAACAACGTCAGAGGCCGGCATCGCAGGCATGGCAAATTGTTTCAGGCACACGGGACATTTGAGCATGAAAGCTAGTAATTTATCTGAGACAACCCCCGCAGTTGGCTGCCTCAAATCTCTCGCAAGGCAGCACAAAAAGCGTCAGTTTGCTCTCCCGCCCGCCGCCCCGACGTACAGCTGTAACATGCAGCAGCATGCCCCATTGTGATGACGGTGTCGTATTATTGTAACAACAATAACGCTGCTTTTTATTATTTTATTACTTCCCTTGTACGTGACTTTACCGAAAGAACCAAGAAGATGAACGCTGCTACCCTTGGCTTGATTTGTTGAATTCCCCAATCTCACCCTAAGACCCGCTTTTTTTTCAGAAAAAGGTCCTGCATTGAGATGTTTGGTGGGTTCCACTCTTTAATGTTTGGCATGTGGGAGATTAAGAACAAAAGTTCCGCACAGATGGATTCAATAAATTTGTGCGGAATGACCAACCCATGGCCATCTCCCCAGCCCAGTGGGTTGCGGAGTTTACAATACGAGCCATCCACCAATGCTTGCCTCCAAAGTGCTGGATTACTGGGCCTGGTAGAATATTAGCATTTTATTTTTGGAAGCAGCTGCTTTAAATGTGTATTTCAGGGCTTTATTACATCACTCCTGGTATTAATATATACACTGCAAATGTGTTTTTTATTTATGTGACATCAATAACATTACCATGATAACTAATACAATATGCACTGAGATGATTTATTTGAAATCGTGTGCAAGCATTTATTTAAGCTGTGTGTGAAGTCACACCACCTATGATGCTAAGATTAAAGTTTTTGTTTTCTGTTCCAAGTCTCCAAGTCCTCTGTAGGAAGTATTAAGATGGCATCATACCATTATGCTGCATTTATAAATGTTTTACATCAACCTACTCTTTCCCAAACTAGAAATACATCGTAGAGTCAATGCTTCTTCAATAAAATGCAACGGGCGGTATGTCACCGTCCCACATCTGTCCGAGATTCATCATCACAGGCACAGATATGCGCATTTCCCCTGCAGATGTACAATATATATAGCATAGCAGTGACAGCTCGTAAATAATGAACGCAGACATAAAAACCTGCCAATAGCCTCGCAGCAACTATCCTATCTCATAATGATATGTACATACTCATATACTCATACATAAGTATAAATGTACGAGTACAGCGGCTCACAGTAATCCATATTTCAAGGGAGGAATGTTGAGTTGTATTACCGTTTTGCTTGGGAAGAACTTTCTGCCATGGTGACAAAATTGTATACCAAGGGAGGCTCGCACTTTCGCAAATAATCACTCCCCCCTTACCACCCGCAATTCGATTAACTGTTAGGGTCACAATCTGATTCCATATGTGCATACAAATGAAATAATCAATCCTTATATATATATGCAATTGTGACAGGTTAAGCGAAAAAACAGTACACGCCTACCACTAGCACTGCTGGTGAAAACAAAATCAATCTGAAAGGGGGTTTTTGTTTTGCCAGCCCTTCCCAAGTGCCTTGCCAAAGCTTGCATTTATGTTTGAAAAATCGACAGGAATTTCAATAGTTTTGCTATTTGTACTCGTACACTTGATCTAGCTGGCATTATTTTTTGTGACCTGCTTACCTTTCCTATCCCCTGTACTCCAATCGTTTTTTTTTTGTATTGTTTGTTGTTGTAACTTTCTGACCCATCCCTCCTGGGCATGTGTGAAAATGAGCATCACAACCCATCGGATTTCTCCAGGATAAACAAAGATTCTGATTATGAGAGGCAGACGTACGTTTGGGAACACTTGCCACTGTGGCAAGCACTTCATCGTCAATCTTTCGTCATCATCAATCTTAATCCACTGCCTCCCCAAGCCGCCGACAGCTCTCAAGATCCTGTGATGTCACAATCCACCTTGCACCTGCAAACGGACCGATTTCATTTGCTCATTCCACATCGAGGAACGTCCCCTCGGATGACAATCGAATAACAACAGGAGTGACAGCCAACAGCGTAGATGCTGGACGGTAACATACGTGCACCCGAATCACGCGGCAGTGAAGGTGACGAGGTGAACGCTCACCCTTCCAAAGTAGTCGGGAAACTTCTGCTCGTTTTCAATAACGTGAGCGAAGCCACCCTGCATGCCAAAATCCACGCTGAAGTATGGCAAGCCCTTTGGAACCTGAAACGACAAGGAAGGCACACAGTCACATGATTTGTGATGCGTTGAACAACAGTAGCATTGTGCCCGTGGACGCCAGCCGTGGAACAGCAGCGCCAATTGCCGATATCCAGGGAGTGAAGGAAATGTACACGCTAGATCAGGGGTCGGGAACCTTTTTCACTGGGAGAGCCATAAAAGCCAAATATTTCTAAATATATTTCATTGAGAGCCATATAGTATTTTTAATGTATAATAAATTAAATGTCTTACTTTTAATGCGACTTCTGGTGCTGCATGGTTTTGCTGATGGCCTTGTAGTCTGGTTCGTACGTGGTGAGGTTGAGCTTCATGCAGGCGTGACCCGTGAAATTTATCTTCAAAACTAATTTCTGTTTACTTTAAAATGACACAGTATTATTAAGCAATATCACAAGTATTTTAAAATCAGTCCAAACTGATTTTTTTTTATTTTTTCAACTTAAAATTGTCTGGGAGCCATATGCCGTCACTGGAAGAGCCATATATGGCTCGCGAGCCATAGGTTCCCGACCGCTGCGCTAGATTATTACTACAATACACGGTAACAGGGGCATCTCGCCAAGGCTAATTGCAGCAACAACATAGGATGATATTTTGCAACGTTTGGATTTGAGAAATAAACACTTAAATACTCCTAGGTTTTTTCGGTAAAGTCACGTAGGTAAAAAATACAATTAATAAAAGTAAAATAAAAATCACGACATTTCAGAGGCAACAAAAGCTTCCGTCTTCAGGTGGAACCGTCACAGCACGATTGCTTGATACAGCTATCGTGATGTGATACAGCAATCGTGATGTGACGGTTCCACCTGAAGACGGAAGCTTGTGTTGCCTCCGAAACGTCGTGATTTTTATTTTACTTTTATTATTTTAATTTTTATTTTTTACCTACGTGACTTTACCGAAAAAACCTAAGATTATGAATCCTTGCAGTCACGAAAGCTTCAAATCTAGAATAAACACTTAAATATAAACGGTTCCAGTATTTACCATTTCAGATTTAAAGTTGGCATAGTCATTAGAATGAATGAACTGAAAAAGGCATAATCCAGCAGTGGATGGATCATGGCCGATGATGATGATGATAAAGAGAGGCATTCCAATTGTATTAGTTAGCAATGAGGAAAATAACATACTGGGACCATGTGATTGAAAACATTTAAGCTTGTTGTGTCAGAACAACTTGGGCCTTCTCTCCATTAACACACATTGTGGACCTCATAAAAATAATTCAATGAAATAGTAATGTTTCATTGCTACCGGGAAGCAGTGTCACCATTAATAACTAGTTTAAATTCATTCACGTCATTTGCCTTTTCCATTGCCTCAATAAAATACAGCCGACTCGGCTGATGATCGAGGTATGTTTAGTGTGCTTGTCTCTCTGAATGTACACATGTTCAGCACTTTATGCAATCCACTGCTGGATACAAAACTCCCCACTCCATTTTTCGATTTAAAGCTTTCGTGACTGCAGGGATTCATATTCTTGTTTCTTTCTACGTGACTTTACCGAAAGAACCAAGAATATGAATCTCCACCCCATGCCGTTCGTGGGGGTTATTTGACCGCACATCACCATGTTGGCCTCAGAGTTGGAGAAGGCGGGGAGAAAAGACACGGAAGCATAGCAATACAGTACAACAATGGATTTTGCAGCACTTTCTTCTGCATCCAACCAGCTAAACCTGCTTAGCTTGTGAGATACGAGTTTGCGTGCATTGCACGTAATTTGGCCAGAGGCTGTTTATATATATGCAGACAGTGACACGAGTATGATTTTCTCAGCTAACATTCACTCTTGCCCCCTGGCAATTAGGATACATTAATCCCAATTCAGGGTCACAATTAAATTCAATATATATTGAAGCAGTGATGGATGTAGAAAACTGTAGTGGCTGCAGGATTAAAAATTTTCACTCAACATTAACCGAATAACATCGAATGCGTGCAATTTTATACGTGCATCTTTACACCACTAAAAACAGGATGAGAAAATGTGTACAGATAACAAATGTTTGGGTAATATTAAATTGCTTATTGTACTTTTTTCCCATGGTGTACACAGGAAAAAAGTGTTGTTTATTTAACAAAAACAAAGATCCATCGTGTAACAGTAGATACTGTTGGGGCAAGTGCTGTATGTGAACACCTTGTGAGCCAGAAATGCACACGAGGAGGTGGTGGGGCCAGAACCACGCACCCCCACCTTTAGCTCTCCATCACCGATGTTTTGCAAACCACACCGGGTATTCAGTTAAAGGCCGAGTTAACTGATGGGAGGCCCAGGACTGCTTCATATAATAGCCACTGATGTTGGCCGTGAGCACGAATCAAAGAGGTTAGTTGCACGGTGCACCCAACCACTGCACTACTGCTCCACCCAAAGCATCACACGGGAGACACACGTGCGCTGAGAACCCAATAAAACACGACGGTAGAGAGACCTTTCTGTGCATCGCATACATATACAAAGATCCTTGTCCAATAAAATAAATGTAGTGAAGCATGGAGGTACAGACACATTCAATCAATATCCAATCTCCTACAGACTTCCACTTTGCTCCTGGCAGCAAGAAAAACCAATTTGAGCCACATTGTAAAAACCCAAATTGCAGTGGGGTATGTTGCCCCTTCCCCTGATGGATTTGCGGTATCACAACCCCAAAGTAGGTACATTTGTGTCCTCTGCGTGTGTGCCTTGAAAGATCTGGACACATTCCCATCAGTGAGCTCCTCCGGTGGGCAAGGCTGCATTGGTTGGGTTATGTAGCCTGCATGCCCAGCTACCGCATGCCCACGCGGCTTCTGTTAAAGGAGGCTAAAGGGGTGTGACATGGGCCGGAAAAGTGATTGACTTATTCTGTTTAGGAGGATGTGGAGCTGAGTGGACTGGCACCAGCAGTATAAAGATCAGCTTCTATGGAGGAGGCTCATGAAGGGCGCTACTGGGCAGTTGGAGGAGTCGACCTCCAACAACAACAGGGAACAGAGGAGTGATGCTCACAACAATGAGTGGAGCACCAGGCAACTAAAATTCAGAAAGTTGGCACAGTAGTGGGCGCAGCTGGTGCATCTGCCAGCTATCTCAGTCAGTCAACCCATAGCACCTGGGTATGTACCGTGACCTCCTGCCAGCGAGCCTTCGACACTTCACGTGGCCTCTTAGTGCACCTTGCCTGGCACAGGCATTGTGGTGACGTCACCGCCACTTGGTGGCAAATGGCCACTGTTGTTGTAGGGTGGAGCGGTGGGAGAGTGGTTAGTAGACTGCACTGTAAACCCAAATACCCGAGTTTGTCATTTTCGGATACCTTAATCGGTCCTGGGCCTTTCCTAGGTTGGCTCAGACTTAAATGAGCAACATTAGGACTGTCAAGACAAAGGTGGGCAGACATGATGCTGGCCACACCATTCCGTACCCCCCCCCCCCCCCACTGTGTACTGTTGTACCAACCAGTATAACGTTGTAATTGTCTCCTGTGTAGCAAGTTTACTGGAAATTTGTTACACCCTCTACAAATGAGAACTGTACAGTGTCTACAAGTATAGCAATGGATTGGATACATTTTACAAATATGATGGCCCCGTGGAGGATTCAGCATATTCATAATTATCATTTCACAAAATATGCTCACTAAAATCCAACGCTGTGAAATTGCGATTAAGACTAATATTGTTCTAAGCAGAAATTTGAAATAATTCAGCTCAACCGAATCATATGGTTGTCACAGTCATAATTTTTTGCTCGAGGGAATGGTACCATGCTTATAGTCTCCTTGATAGCAATCAGCATTCACAAACTCACTTTGGCAAATGTACAAAAATGTAATTCTAAAATTTTTCAACAAACATTAAAATGCGGTGTTTGGGTGTTTCTTCCGTGGTTCGATTTATTCTTTCCGAGTGTCTCGCGTTGACGGCAACAGTTTGCGAGGTGCGGATGATAATGATTATGACAACTTAATGGTACGTAAATTCAATAAAGGTCAAGGAAAATTTCGACTGCTGGCTCATCGATATGGCAATAATCTAAATGAGCCACGAAAGCTTTAAAGAACTCATCACCATTCATCTACGCACAAATACATTTGCATTCATGACAGTTTTTAGTGTGTGTGACGATATGCATGAAAATGTTGTAACTTTGATTCATATGAAATGGGCCATTGCACCGAATGAACCGAGAAATTAAGATTGGTAATAGTGAAAGATCAGTGTTCCAGAAAGGTGGAAACGTGCCAAGCTGTGTATAATTCCTAAACTTTTCCAAGTTTCATGTCTCAGTTGGATTTTTTTAAGCGTAATTACCTAATCCAATCCAGATAAAACAATTTTTTTAAAAATATTTAACACTGTTATTTAATGCACTATACGCACACATATCAGAAAAGTGATTAAAAACCAACATGACTGCAAATGTAATGGGGACAAATGTCAACCTCAACTGTTTGGTCAAATCTCCAAAAACTTAACTGTCGATGAGCAAATGAACACAGTTTTGCCTGCCATTTCTGACGGCTATTTGTGCTCGTCCACCTATCGAGCCGGTAACAATCCTTGGTGTATGTGTGTGGCACTGTAGAACGGACGGTTATTTTACTTACAGCTCTGCGAATGTCCTTTTGGGAGAGGTCCACCAACTTGGTGTTCATGGCCCACTCCTCATCCGATTCTTGAATGGCTTTCTACATTCACAGAACACAACAGCCATTTCCACGACCATCATTATTATCACCACCATCATCATCGTCGTCAGTCATACTAACCATTATTGTCATCCACTTCATCAGAGGCCATAGGACAACTGTGGTCTACATCAAATCTAAGTGAAAAAAACTGGATCATGGAAAATTGTATTTTATTGCGGTTTGCTCCAAAATGTCACATTGTGAAGCTGCCCATCTGGCATTCTCTAGACATAAACACCCACTGATCCATTATTTCCGCTGCCTCCATTACAGGGTTGAAACGTGTCTTCATGGCATCTAGTTTGTAAGCTGCAACTGTTATTTTTATCTGAGACATTTTTTTCAGATGGGTTTTATTTGTACGTGTGCATTGTGTGCACGTGTGCTTGTGATTGGAGTGGTGGTGCAGTTGGTAGTGCACTGTGCTATGAACCCAGAGAACTGAGTTTGATTCCTGGCCACAGCGAACAGTAGTGAAGGGCATCTGACACGTTCCTGGCTATGCATTTCACCAATCCATACTTACCAGCGTGAAGTATGGTAATTCAACCGATAAGACCGACAATAGCATGGGGAGGCCTTCATCCACTGGTGCATTGATAAAGGGCTACAAATGATTAACTTTTCATGGCTGTGAAAACACTGAAAAATTCCCTATTTATCTGCTCGCAAAAATGCCCAAAAAAATATCGAAACCATTGTTGCCATTTAATTAAGTACATAAATAAACCTACAGGATAATCCTACATATACCTCTGTAAAAGCACATTTTACTATTTTTCTTATTTCTCATGGACGATTTTTCTCCCTCCAAAAATGATTAAATGTCGTTGAAACCAAATAATTTTCCAAGTGTGTGTGTTTTTAAGTGCCACTGCCTGTCCAAACGATGTCAAGAGCATGCCAACATAATCAGCCCCTAAAGAAAAAGATTGGTGATACGAAAGAGAAATAAGCAAGACACAGAAATGACAGAGCTGTAATACAAGAGACCAATATTGGTGAGATGAAACCGAAATAAACGGGATGATGGAAGACCGAGACGTGGGGTCGAGATCATCACCAACGTGTATTCACACGTCATGTATCGTGTCACGTGGCTCGCCAGGGCGATCGTCTTAGTATTCTGCCCGCCCGCCGGAAATTATAGCTGAAGAAACCCAGGCAGCGCATGCACACGGGGCTGTTTTACATGAGCTCACCTTGAAGTAGATGGGAGCCATGTCACCCAGTTCACGGGCAAGGGGCACGCACTCGTACACCATGTGTGGTCGGCGTTTCAGGTGCATGTTCGCCTCCATGAAGACGCAGTCCTCGTCTTGCTCCGCAAACATCTTCACCAGCGCACGGCGGAAAGACTGCGCGGCAAACCGTGGCAGTTAAACTCGCGCGATTGGTCTCGCCACGCATAGCTGAGACCCGCAAATCAGTGCCAAAAAGCCAATTGTTTCTGGGTTTCCAATTACATTTTTCATTAAGAATTAAGCGTAATTTATTTTTGTCAGAAATAGATGGGGTGGCTGAAACGTCGGTCCTTTCAAAATACGTATTGTGTTCATAATCATGACAATTCTTTACACGTCCTTTCAAAGTGCAAGGGTTTTAAGCTCCAAGTGACAGATTGCATGAGCTTATGAACATAATACATCTAATCAGTGCATAAATCACTGTACATATTAGCGACTTAAAAATAAACATCTCCATCTTGATAAACACTAAGTTGCTGGACATATTCCAATGAAAACATGGCAATTGTGATTCCAACAAGTAATTTCTCCTCCTTCTGAATGGAAATCCAGTATGTATCGTGGTGGTTAGCCATTTAAACAAGTTGAAAATAAATTAGAATGTAGTTATAATGATCTGTGGTGCTGTTACTTGCAATACCCTTTTGTTATTGCGAATTAAAAAATATAACATTGTTACCCGTCAAATTTCCATCGATGTCATTACAAATTATATCCGTGAAATATTATTTTTACTAAGTAATTGTTCTCGCTTGTGAAGAAAAGACAGCACTAAATTAATGAAATATTTCCTTCCCTTGTATAAATGTTTTCTTGTGTTTGTTGATAATGTGCACTTTGACAAGCCATCCAAGTGAATGATGTTAGAAATTATAACAAAGCACGGGCTTTTAACAAGGCAGAGCCCATAATATATATCCGTGGGCCTGTCACTCCATATCAATATACGATTCGATGCACAAAGCGTGAGTCATAACAACAGAAGCCGAGATTAATGACAATTAACCCACGCATGGGCCACGGACAGCTTCCACGCATGGCATGCTCTCTGGGGGTCTCTTTTTACACAATGTCCTGGGTGCTCAATCCTCACCCCACATCCATCGCAAGATAGTTTATAACTCTTGGGCTAATGGAACGGTGGAATTTGTACAAGTGCAGGAGTTCATCTTCTTGGTTCTTTCGGTAAAGTCACGTAGAAGGGAAATAATAAAATATATTATATTCTTTTGTTATTTAATGTTTTGTTTTTATTATTTTATTATTTCCCCTCTACGTGACTTTACCGAAAGAACCAAGAAGATGAATCCCTGCAGTCACGAAGGCTTTAAATCGAAAAGTGCAGGAGTAAATCAATCATTGCATCACATGCACTGATTTCACTTGCTGTTAAGCTCGGCCACTATTATTGCCAAATTCATCCCCCAATTTTGATCGTCTTTTTAACTGTATTTTGCCCATGAACAACACACTGCATTGCCAAAACCAGCAGGTCTTGAAAGTTAAGGGGGTTTCGTGCCAAGTTAGTACTTGGATGGGTGATTGCAACGCGCAAAAGAGTTGTTAATACTCTTTGGTTCTTTCGGTAAAGTCACGTAGGTATAAAATAAAATAGACTAACGCAATTTTACTGAAACAAGCAAAGAGTATGGATTCCTGCAGTCACGAAAGCTTCAAATCAATATTGAGTTGTTAATAGGCATTGAAGGCAGTGCAGAAAAACATGCATCTCTTTTCTGTTCTCCTCCCACCTTCAACAACCTGCAACGATTAGCATGGTGAAGTATGGTCAAATATCCCTCATGGGCACAAGGCATAGGGAGGTCCTCAACCAGCAGTGGGGATTGAAAAAAAAGAGGGCTGTATAGTCAGGGTTACCCAAAAGTCAGGACACAAGGGGTTATTTAATTAATTTTAACACTGAAATGAAAAAAAAAATCTATATTTAATCTTTAAGTAAATATTTAATCTCATCATTATTAATACATATTTTTCTTTGTCCTGTGTGGTCACCTCAAATCCATATTTTCTAAAACTAGACCAAGATCCATGAATGGATTTAGACAAAACATAATTGATGAATGCTCAGAGATTACAATTGTAATCTTAAAAAAAGTCCCAAATTCATTTCAGAAGATAATTCACGCATGCTATAACATCAATGTAAGTCAGTTTTAACATTTGTTAAAATAAATGAAATAATCCTTTGTGATTTGTTAAATTAAATTATGCTAACCGATGTGTTCTCACTTTTGGGCCAGCCAGTATCAACGTGAAGTGAACCTCAAGCAGAGGTGTTGCGACACACAAGAGCGTAACATGGCAAACACCTGTATCTCAGCCCAGATGTCCTCATCCAGCATATTTCCAGATGAAAAGTGCTGCAGTGGAGCAATCAGGCAGTGGCCCTCAGCCAGCGACTGCTGACTGGGCAGGCGCAGGTACACCTAAGCGATGAGAAGTTCAAGTTCATGTATTAGGTATAGCCCTGTGAGCCATTCGGCTCTTGAATCGGGTGCAACCGCAACAAACAAAAAACAAAAACATGAACAAGAAAACATCTTAAAGTGACTATGTGCAAACAGATAATCCAAGAAAAGACAGCAAAACATTGCAGAAAAATCACCGTACACCAACGCTGTGTGAAAAAATCCCAGTGGGATGCAAGTCAAACAACAACAACCACAAGACAACTTAGATTAAGGCCATCAGTCTAACTCCGTACTACAACAAACAAACATGGCCAAACCAAAAAACTTTTCGAAAATCATCAAAATAAAGCCATAAAAGCAATTAAACAGTGATCATAGGAACTGTGACCGAATTTTCACAATAAACGACATAAACAACATGTACTATCAAACTCTGCAGCCATAGCTGGCTGCATGAGTCACTCCACAACAGCAGGAGCATCAGTCGGAGTATCAACACTTTTCAATGCAACTTTAAGATCAGCACACTAAATCAAAACACAGATCATACTTTGCAGTGATCATCCGGAGCAAAACATTGTATTTTAGGCCACTGAATAGCAGTGGCAGCTAGGGGTGTACAACTCCTCTAGAGCAGTTTTGAGTGAACATCTCATAGGTAGTGATTCAAGTTGCAGTTGATTGGCAATAGCATTCAAATAAACTGCAACTTGCAACACACACACGGCCTGTAAACCATTCAATCTGTATTCCGGCTCACAGATTTAAAAATAAGACTGGCAGGTACTATGCGGAAAATACTCCAACCCATGAATCCACAGCAAGTCGCTGCATTTTGATGGGATTTGTTCTCAGCGTTGGATCTCATGAAATAAGCTGTGTGTTTGATTTTAATGTGAATAGAGGCTTTGGGCTTTAAGTTTGTATTTCAGGGCAGCCAATCCTAGCTTCGCATTCAAGACTGCATTAACCAATGCTAGAAAGTGTAGCGGCAGTGATTTTTGCAGCCCGCTGGGTTTCGGTGGCAGCACATCAGAGTAAGGCATTCGCCCCTGGGTGCATATGCCAACTGTTCAGTGTTCAATGGTGGCTTAAACAATTTTCCTTTTGAACAAAAAGCACATCAAAGAGCACCCTGCTTTCAAATGAAATTCACTTTATAATGAAAACAGTCGGAGCAGAAGGGTCTCGTGTAGGTGTGGAATAGTTCAAATTAAAACAAATTCTTACGCTCAGAATGCAATCATCGAATTGAGCATGTAAAGATCGATTATTCTCTTTGGTTCTTTCGGTAAAGTCACGTAGATAGAAAAACAATACAAATCACGACGTTTCAATCGCAACACGAGCAATCGTCTTCAGGTGAAAAAATACAGCAGGCGGACTGCTGAGGCAGGAGAAATCTAGCGTGGATTGGGCGACTGTGCAGTTTACGCAATGGGATTTTTTGTTGCGTGCCCTTTTTTGGAACGCATCTCCCGCTTAAATTGCGGGAAACCTGTATTCTGCCTTGTTTGTTCAATTAGCCTTGAGGCCATATTCGCATATACCTTGCAAATGGGAAAGTTATTGTTTCTTAAATGGTGGATTGCATGATTTCTGAGCATAAAACAGCAAAGTGGTTTCCCAATTTCATGCCGCTCACTCTTTGTCGAGGATTTCAAAATTTTGCACACCTTTGTTGCTGGTCCTGTGAGCCTTGGGAATAAATAATGACTCCTAAGAATCCTAGAGGAAGCGAGTCTTCTGCTCAATGCATTATTGGTTCAAATGGCGTACCTATTTTGTGTATATAAGCTAGACGTGTGCGTGATGGTTCCTAATGTTGTAAAATGTATTTACGCATCAATCTTAAGAATAAATAATCATGCAAATGAAAGCATAAGAATATTTTTTTGCAGACCATGTAATGCGGGCTGTGACATTGCAGTGTCCCACATGCTACTGACTTAATGGCTACAGATTGCAACTTATCAAGGCTTTCCAACGAAGGTTAAAAATGTTGGTTCATCAGCTGTCCATCGATAAGGGGAGCATTGTAGTTAACCTTAAGGTGAAGTGATATAAATTATATTTTAGTATAAGTTGTGTTGCTATTTATAACCTCACCCGATTGAAAACTGGCCAAATTGATCAAGGGGTTGACCAAAACTTGGGAGACTCAAACCAGACTAAAATTGAATATTTCCACATTTTGACCTGACGAGACTATCCACCTACAATTGTTCCTATATTGCTTCTACATCCTGTATATACGAGCAAAGCTGATTGGGAGCGCAGGCCAGCAGGGCACGTGCGTCCGTGCCAGTACCTTGCTGCCGACGGCCACCACCAGGTGCTTTGGTAAGTCGGCGCTGTCGAAGCAGTGGTTGCACTTGGCCATCTCTCCGACGAGGCGGCGGTGCTCCTCCATGGCGCGCTGCTTGTGCAGTTCGTCCTCGCGGCCCGTGCTCTCCCCCTTCGCCGCTTTCGACACGAACATGTCGTCCAGCGTGAAATATTCACGGTCCGTCTTCTCCGCAAACTGGGCGGTGGGGATAATGCCGGCGGGTGGTGGTGGAGCGGACCCCAGGGGAGAGGGATGAGTGGTTTTAGTTTGTGAGCGTTACCCCGACCAAAAGGGGTTTGTTCTATGCATGTTGAACTTCTTTTGCACTGTACGTAGACAACCGTGCTAATCGGAGGTGTGAAGGAAGGACAACAAACTAAACACAAAAAGCTATTCGAAAGAAATTAGTTTTCAATCTAGATGATTTAAAAGTGCATAGCTCCAGTGGCTTCCTAATATCAGAAGGAAGAGCATTCCAGATGGCCGCAGAAGCACATCTAAAAGCGCGCGATGCAATGACCATCTTTCTTTGTTTCATGGTTAGCCAAAACGCCGATGCGAGGATGACCGGAGTTCGTGTGATGGCTTATACTTCTTGACGAGATCACCAAGGTATTGCGATTCATTTGTGGCAAGCACTTTGTGTGTTTGTCGCCCATCTAACAAAAGGATGTTTTCATCTAAACTTTGCAAAACATTCCTGGATTGGATCAGGTACTGTCAATTCTCTCAGCTCACTTGTATATTATGGGATGTTTCAGTGAATGTTTCATAATTCGCTAATGATTGACGTGTCAACTGTATACTGTGCTTTCGAATTTTCTAAACGATATTTTCTATTTAAAAGTCAATCAATTCGTTCAGAATGGGTGCACAATCCCAGCAGCGTGAGCCAAAGTGACATTTGCTTCGAGCTTTAAAAAAAGGGCAGCAGAAAACAATGAATCGAAATAGTCAACAATAAGTGAAAATTACTCTGAAAACAGAAAGTGCACGGGAGAGAAAAAAATTACAATTTGAGACAATGTCCCGACAGGGGTGGCGAGGTCGCTGACAAGATGAGGTCTCACCTTGGAGAGGCGAGCGAACATCGCATTCTGATCTTCGGCCGTGCTCATCCGCTCCCTGCGCACCAGCTCCTGCAGACTGTGCTGATCGTCATCGCCAAAGTAACGCGCACGCTCCCCGGCTGCGTGCGTCTCCACCTGCACGGCACGTGACGGGGGCACCAAACTCACCGTCGTTCTACGCTCCCACAACACGGGCATATCTTTTTTATTGTTTTCAGCCAGCGAGCACTTATCTGTGTGACGAGCCAATTATCGCACAGAAAGTGGCAGACTTGGTGAATTGTCATTGTCATATGCAAAGTTGGTGGGAAAGCACTGCCCTCTATTATGCAGACCAGAGGTCACTTAAAGGCATTTTGGAGGTAGCTCTCTGATATCCGGTTCTGCAGGCTCGTAACACGAAGGGTCGCGCACTGCTCTGCGAGGAATCGAAATGGGCACTTCACCTCGTGACATGACACCGATATCACAATCAGGATAACGTTAGGCAAAAATTGATCGTAATGAAAAAAACCTGGTTGTCACCCTTAGGCAGTGGCAACTGTATCCACAGTAATCAGGGAGGGCTTATCGACGTAACAGCCCCGAAGGGAAAGGGAAGCAGTCAGTGGTCAATGGCAGCACTGTACCGATAATTCCTCGCAAGAAAGAAACCGGTATTCAGTTTGTCTCATTGTCCCACTGCTGCATAAAACAGTGCAGCCAACATTTGTATTTCTTCGATGTCATCAGTCGGTGGTCTGACACAAGGCTGCGTGCATTATACAGCATGGTCGGTGATGCCACAGTGCTGCACATTCACCCGAGTGCAGCAGCATAAACAACACATGACACTCATGTGAAGGCGCCGGTCTGCTAAGATGCTACGCAGGCGATCGTCATCTGCCTGCCCTGATCCATTGCTCCATCTCCTCACCGGGCGGTTCTTGCGTCGTCCCCCTCTGGGCTCAGCAAAGTGCGCGGGAGCGGACACAGGCCACGACTGCCCAGCTCGATCTGTCCTGTACAGCAGCACGTCTGTCTCATCCTCCGCTCCTCTGCCTCTCGCAGCACCTGTAGCCTGTATGACGGTGTGTGTAAGAAAGGCACGCATTGAGACAACACGCATTGATGTGTTGTTATCTGTTGCCAGACAGTCAATGGTATGTGGGACATTGTACGTCACAGCTTGCGTCAAAGCATCTTCCAGATATTAGCATGCCGCTTTCATCTGCATCGTTTAATATTTATATTCCGTACATGTGATGTTTTACGCATATTGATGAGTGTTCAGACATGAGGAGTCACTACATGTACAACTCTTTCGTTAATCCACTGCTGGATGAGGGTTTTTCCCCACACTGTGCAGGTCGAGGGGGTTATATGACCAGAATTCACAATGTTGGCCAGTGTGGGTAGGTAAAGGCGGGGAGCGAGACTTGGGAGCAAAGTCGTAAGGTACAACAATGGATTTTTGTGCACTGCTCAGGGCTACTCACGTTTGTAATGGTTTGGTCCTTGTCACGGTTTACCATGTTAAAGTGCTAAATAAATCACCGTTATTATTATTATTGACGTAGCCTATAATCTTTAACGACACGTGGGGTGCAGTGGTCACCAATCCAAGCACCATCCAGGCACAGCCGTGCTTTAGCTTCTAAGATCATTTGGTGATAGGCTATCGACAACACATTGCTTGGGCTAAATTAATCTACCTAGGCGAACAAAGAAAATCCACAATTTAACCCAAAAATATTCTGCTATAACTCTAATCTGTTCAAATGATGATGATCAAAAAGAATAGGTTTTGCCCTTTCTGGCAATACTCTGGTGTGGACAAATCAGTTTCAAAGACAATGCATATATTACCAGAGCATGTTTTTGTTTGCATGTTCACCACAAGTATGTGTGGTTAATGTAGACATGATTCCCTGCAAAAGGTTTCTGTTTGGTGTTTTATCATCTTAACACAACTGTTTTATTGCCAGAAAGGGTAAAACCCTTTTTGTATACTTTGATACTGGCAAGAAAGGTCGCATGATGATGATGGACATGACTCATGTGGGTCACTTAAGCTTGAAGTCAATCGGCAAAAAAAAATTGGATAATCGTTAAATAATTGCAGACACGAGAAGACAAGTGAAAATCAATTACGGATATTAATTAAGGATTTCTGAAAGGTAGGTCACACTTATCTAAGCTTTTTTTTAATGAGAATATCACCACGATCCAAGATAAAGGGAAGAATGGACAGTAATTATATCTACTTGAAAAGGTCCTTTAAGACACAAATTTAAGTGCTTGGGAAGACCACATAACACGTGGGATGAGACAAGGGCAAATTGGCTTAGAGACATTTTATACAAGAAGCCATGGAAGTTGTCACAAATTAAGCGACATATGCTCATTGATTTGAAATTAAATGAGGCTCTGCAAATGCAGAACAGCATTCCGTGGCGGAGCTGAGAACTCCAATTCGTGACCATACATACAAATATTGTTGATGGGACACAAATAAATAAAGTAGACTGCAATGTCACTCACTGCAAAATGGATTGCCCTGCAGAATTAGTCTGCCGTTGTAGAATTAATTTATATAAAGGCTTTTTACAACCATTACAGATAAACGCAACATTATTTTGCCAACGATCTCTACAAAGCTCGACAAAAAGCCTCGGAATATTACGCAATTTAAAAGCAAAGATTGACGATAATGCATTTGGGGTGAAAAGGTTAGAATTTTAGCGCATTTACAGGAGCCTAGCAACAAGCCAAGTCACAAAAAAAAGAGGAATGAGCCGTAACTGTCGCCATGGCCTTTTCTCATCCCACATCTCGCTGTGCTCTTACGACGCTGCGATCACGATTGACGGAGATGATAAGTGTGCCCGACCTTTGTCATCTGCTGGCTGGCTGCAAAACCCGGCTGCTGAGTTTGGTTTAGCTTGGCTTTCCGAGCCTCGTCCAACTGGGCTTTCAATTTATCAGCGAGCTCCTGCATCCACACGCCAAAAATCACATCAAAAGGGTGTACAGATTCAAGCGGGTTTCCCTCAGCTATTATCATCATCAGCCAAGTGCAATCCACTGCTGGATGAAGCATTCTCCAAGCCGTCGTCATTTCTCAAGGTACTCTAACGTAACAATCAACCCAGAATGTGCACACATGCTGCTTTAATTGCTCCATATCCCTGCGGTGGTCGATGTCTCAGGCACGTTCCTTGCCCTGGCTGCCACTCCCCATCAGTATTCTTGGCCACCAGAAGGTATGTAAGATGTAGTGATCATCTTTGTAGTTATGATGATAGTTTCTAAACAAAGTAGTAAATGTAATAATAATAATAACAATCATAAATCGTGTATACAAATTAACCTACTCAGTGGTGCAGCAGTTAGTGTGCATGACTTGCAATCGGAAGGTTGCTCGTTCAAATCCTGGTTGCGGTCAACGTGGTTCTACATCCATTTCTGGGCTCAATAAATAACACTCTCAATAGAATTTGGATTTAACTTGAGTACCACGATGTGGAAGGTTCACAGCAGTTGTCGTATAGCCAGACTCGCTCCTGCCCGAGTAGGCTGAAGGTTGTGAACAGGATATGAGCAATCTTGATTTGAAGCTTTCGTGACTGCAGGAACCCATACTCTTTGGTTCGTTCGGTAAAGTCACGTGGGTAGAAAATAAACTAAATCACGACGCGACGGACGCTTGTGTTGCGCCCATAAAGTCGCTATTTATTTTATAGGATATGAGCACCCCCCACACTTGAGTGTGAAACACTGTGAAGTGCGATAGACACATGTACACCTACAGCCCCTTTGTCAACCAACGCTGGATGAGCACCTCCCCACACCGTGTGGGTCAAGGGGGTTATTTGATCATACTTCACCATGCTTTACAATGCAATGTGGGTTGGTGTAGGGAGAAAAATACATTGCAAAATAGTACAGTCCAACATTATATTGTTTATGTAAAAGCCCTCTGCGGGCAATGACGGCTTGCATCATGCTTGTCCCCCATCCAAGCACTCCTTCGACTCAATGAAGCTGAGCTTCAAAGATCTGATATCGGGTGCAGTCCTGACGATTTCGGCATAGGCCGAGATATACATTCGCTATAAAATCAAGAACGTGTGACGTTCAATTGATGATCAATTTACCTGGGCCCACAGTCAGCGCTCGTGCTCACACAAAGCCACAAACCTGGTTGCCCAGGAGCTCCGCTTTAACCAGCCGTGCCCCCAGCTGGTTCATTTCTCCTTCACTCAGCACCTGCAAAGGAGCAGCTGGGGTAGCCTCATCAACCAGAGCCACTGGAGCAGATTCAGCAGCATCGGTAGTGGCGGAAGATTTGTCCTTAGGACTGAAAAACAAATGATCGCTTTAGCAAACTGATTTTTCTGCAGTATTGTTTGTCGATGAAATGTCAACAGATTGTAAAAGTATTCGACAACTATGTGAACCACAGACTTTCATTAAAAAATGCAACCATCCTCATCCCATCAATTCGCTGTGACCAACAACATGTGCAAACACTCAATATATGACGCAGAATCTGGTCAGACATTACCACAGTAAAAGCTTAATACAAAGTAAATAGAACAATGAGAACATGTTTTACCGATCATCTGCTGCTTGCTTTAACGAGGGCTCACTTCTTTCACCTATACCCCGCAAGTGGGCTCTTTGCTTTGTTTCCTGTCTGTCTTCCTCTGCTGGGCTTTCAGAACGTTCCTTAGTTTGGTCATTTTTAGCAACCTCTTTTCTCTGTGGTACTGTTGAGCTGGAAGAAAGAACATCTTTAGCATTACCACCACCACCACCATCATCATCGTCTCTCGGCCTTCGAAAGGCACTCCGAGGAGTTTCCACTGAGCGTGGTTCCTTCAAAGCCAAGCCACTTCCGAGAAATGCATCCCCATCATCGTCGTCTGAAGGCTTCATGAACTTGGACTTAAGAGAACATGTAGATGTGTTGATGGTGGTGCGGACATCAGGACTTCTTCGAGACCACCTGACTCCCTCTCTTTCTTGGTCACGCTCTTTATGTCGATCTCTTTGACCGCGATGTCTATCCGGACTACCGTGCGACCGCCTCTCCCTGTCCTGGTCGCCGTCCCTGCTCCAGTCTCTGCGACTCCCCTGATATTGGTGCCGACTTCTCTCATCATCCCTGCGCCCATCCCTTTGCCTGTCTCTTTGCTCCCCTCTTTGTCCATCTCTTTGAGTGTCTCTTTGCCTATCCCGGTCCATGTCTGAACCAGCAGAGCGACCCCGGTCTTTTTCCTGTGTTCCGTCAACATCTTGTTTTCCCTCCCCTTCCTCATGGCTGTCCCGATCCGTGCGGTCCCTGTGTCTCTCTTCCCTCTTCCACGCCGGAGGAGTTGACGAGTTGTTTGCTGCAGTCTTCCTCCACCTCTGACCGCCCCGGTAATAAAACCGCTGAGATGCTGCCGTGCGCTCTGCTTCTGACAGCATCGAATAAAATTTTTCTTTGCACTGAAAAAATGAAGAGACAATAGTTCAGCCACAAACATTACAAATGGCATTGGAAAGACAAGTACATAAACATATTGCAGCATCGTTAAACTTTGTTTGAATGTTCATGTCAATGTAAAAAACATGTTTTTGTTCTAACTTCTCTAGAAATATAAAATGTGCCCACAAGTATTACAACTCTGTATGTGTGCAGCCCTATTTCTCAATTCACTGCTGGTTTAGGACGTCCCCAGAGAAATAGGGTCACGGGGTTTTGTGACCATACTTCAGCATGCTTGACAGTGTAGCCTAGTGGATGGGAATTTCGAAGTAAAGTACAACAGTAAATTTAGCTGCACTGTCCTCTGCTGCTCACAACAAAGCCACAGCCTATACCAACTTTTGTAAGCAAGGCAATCAACCATCAATGCACTACCCAGGCTAAGCTTCTGAGATCTTACAATCCATGCCAGGGATTCAGAGTGATTTGGTCAAATACAGCGAATTATTGTACATATATGTAAAACAAAAAAAACTGGGTAGTGGAGGGAAAACGTTATTTAGAGGTTCTGGGCCATAATTGGCAGGAAACGAACGTAGACGAAATATCCCTGTACACTGACTCCGTATCGCTCTTCGAGAACTTCATCCAGTGACCTCTGCTCCTTGTCTGCCTGCTCTTGCATTCTCTGACGAGCTCGTCTCAGCCAGCTGAGCCCGCCATCACCAACCGCCGATGGTCCTGAACGCCACAACATCAAACAAGCGGTGAGCAACTCGCTGCAATGTCATGAACCATCTGAATGAAACACTCCGCAAATCCATCGGTGTCAGTTCTGAGTAGGGAGGTCCATGGTCAATGCTTCGCGCCGGCATGCCCATTTGGCACTAGCTTTCGTGACGCTCTGCTGGTCAGCTAGGTCTACTCACGTTTCTGAGCCAACAACCAAAACGGTGACCAAAAGGTTATAGAGTACGGTGCACTAAAACCGACGCAGGTCTGGGAATATCCTGGGGTAAAATCAACGAGAGCTGGACGTACCCTGAGAAGCTCCCGAGGTGACGGATTGCTCGCTTTCCTGTGGGGGGAGGCCTGTTCCTCCGTTCTTCCAGTATGGGTTGAGCTCACGAGCGTGTACACCAGGCTGGCCGAGGGAAGATGTTGCAGGTATCACTTTGGTGCTCATTAAAGTAACAATTTACTGCCCCAGTGATTTGATGAATTGTTGCCATTCATAGTCACGATTCAATTCCGAAATTGTCTGTTTTACCATTGTGGATTGTCTAACCTTTAGTGGCTGTCGGGATCGTGTGAACCAGTCACATTACATTAATGAATCAAAAATAATGGATTCTTACACAAATGATTCAAGGCATTATTGGGAAAGTCATGATAAAATCGAATTAACGAATAGCTCCATCATTACATTTTGACATAGATTTTATAACGGTTTTTAACATTTACCTGTGTATTATACCTTATAAGCAAAAGGTAAGACCATAACCTGGTTTCCAATGAAGAGCGGCAGCACTTGGACTAATAAGCTCTCTTTTGTAATAAAAACCTAAAACACTGTCCATGTATTAAAGCCAACATTTCATAGCATTAAATTATACGCATGTATACCCAGAAGCAATGTGATAAAATTCGAAACGAATTTAGTGTAGATTTGAAGTTTTCGTGACTGCAAGGATCCATACTCTTTGGTTCTTTCGATAAAGTCACGTGGGTGAAAATAAAATAAAAAATCACGACGTTTCGGGCGAAACACAAGCGTCCATCCTCAGGTGGGGACAACCACAGCGACAAAACAATCGCTGTGGTTGTGATTTTTTATTTTATTTTCACCTACGTGACTTTTCCGAAAGAACCAAGGAGTACGAATTTAGCGTACACAACACTTAGGGCTGTTTAATTAAGTCACAGTTTGGCTCTGGCTTGAGCCACTTCGTCGCTTCCAAAGATGGACGAGTGGCTCAGCCGTGGCTTAGCTCAGGCTCAGCTCACAGATATCCCAAGCGTGGCTGGGAGTGTGTTCAGACACAGATCAAGTTAGGCATGGCCTTGAGTCGGGCTCACTTGAACCAACGCAACGCCTGAGCTGTGCCGTGATAAATACATACCTTGTCAATCGCATCCCTGATTTCTTTATCCAATTCTTTGGCTTTCTGTTTTTCTGATTTGACGTCTGTTCTAGAGTAGGACTTCATCGTCAGGAAGTCGAAGTTCATCCAATCATCCCTCTAACAGACAGCAATGCAAAGATTAGTACGGTACATTTCATGCAGAAGTAAAAAAAAAATGCAGTGTTTTTGTTGCATTTTCCTGTCTTTCCTGTTTTAGTCCTTATAATGGTACATTAATGAAATACTATGAATATTTAAAACAAGTAATTCAAATTGTCTTTACAACATATTCAAGTGGAAGTAGACAAAACACAGATAACATCAAACATCTATTTGAGGTGGGAGAATTTAAGCCAATCCTTGGCTACAGTTTCATATCTATAGAGAAGCAATAATGTCACCACCATAAATAATGGATTAATTTGCATTAAAATGGATAGTACACTGAAAGTGGGGGGCCAAGTAAAATCTAAATAGAGAAAAAACTATCCGAAACCAGATAAAACAAGATGAATAAAATGAGATATATAAATAGAGATGAAAAATGTTAAACAAAAGATAGAATGTGCAAACATTGGTAAAATGACGAGAAAAGGATAGAAATCAAAACGGTCACTGCACAGATCACAAAAATGGAAGCAAGAAAGCAACAAAAAGAGTGATTCTGGGTAGATAACTAATAGTAGCTCTCAGACAGCATGATAGGGACAGAATTGCAAAACTAGCAGATACATTTTTTATGCAGATCTCTATATCAACAAAACATTATACGATGGGAAACTAATCTTTTTTGTTCAGAGGAAGAGGAATATTCAGATGTCACACTTGAAATTGCCTTTCACAGCATGGAAATAAGGGATACTCCCAGACTAGATGAAATAACTGAACATCATTAAAGAAGCAGGACCAGCTGTTGAAAAAACATTAGTAGACCTAATGTCTGGATGTATCCACAGGAATTAAATACACGTCAATTCACGATTAATGTGTTCATCATTCTTCTATTCATGAAGGCAGACAAAACTGATTTGAAGAACTAGACCCACTAACCTCCCGTCAAACGTATATAAAATGTTCAAGTGCAGGAGCGCGATTGATTAGGGCATTGCAAGACTGTGAAAAACGATGCCTACGTGGAGAGGCCTTCATCCAAAAGTGGATAGATCAAGCATGTTGATGATGACAAATACATTAGAACCACTTCACCAAGTGAGCAAATCAGATGTAAAAGGTGGTAAACAGGGGAACCGACGCGAGGACATGAGCACTGTACCACTAAGGGGGCATTGACTGAAGCGTTAACAGCATCAGCTGATCTTTCCCTGGTGGAGTCTGATGACTGGCTGCTTCCAGAAGCAGGAACAGCGTTACTTTCAACCCACTCCTCTTCTGAGGCCTGGAAGAAAAATGTCAAGGCTGTCATTAAACCTGTTTCATATGTTCATCGCAAATACTAACGTGTGTACTCAGTATCAATTATTATTATTCCAAGCATTGTTTTCATTGCGAGTCATCTCATAAAACAAGATTACTTACGGAAGTAGAGTCACTGGCACTGTCAGACTTCTCAACTTGCTTAGATTTTTTCTTTTTCTTCTCTTTTTTAGACTTCTTCGACTTCTCTTTTTTCTTTTTGTGTTTTTTGCCATGTTCCTATAAAACGAACACAAAATAAGGTTACATAGACAGTAATAATAGTTTTGACTTAAAACTTTCGTGACTGCAGGAATTCATATTCTTTGGTTCTTTCAATAAAGTCACATAGATAGAAACAATAGTAATAAAAAAGACAAATAAAGTGAATAAAAAATATCCGTACGTTTTTTTTCCCTGATGACGACTGCTTGTGTTGCGATGGAAATGTCGTGATATTTTGCATTAACTTTCTTTTTCTTTTGTATTATTATTTTGTTTTTATATCTCCATGACTTTCCCGAAAGAACCAAAGAATAGTAATAATAATGGTTTATTATTTATTCACGTGCATGTAATACTTTCAGAAGAAATTATGACAGTAAAGTTAACTAAAATATCCACAATATAGGTTTTTTGAGTTATATCATGTAAATATAAATGTGTCGTCAAACCCGCCACAGCCAGTTAGTAAGGTTTAGCACGTAAACAGAACATGCCAATGCAATTACTAATACAGCACACCGGTGTGTTGGAGAGCAAATCCACAACATTTAGCAACCGAGTATGACATTTCACCAATGATTATAACTAGCATCATCTGGCGGACAGCAAGATTTGTGGACAAATCTTCCTCTTTCGTTCCTTTAGGCTGTCTTAAAAGTAAAATAATTAGGCTGTCATTAAAAAATATCATAGCTCACATACATCACATGCTGCATAAATTGTCCAACAGTGCTTAATGAGAGATTTGTGGTAAAATTAAAGCGGCATTTGTAAAGGACTGCCATTATACCTTACTAATAATTCTTAATAACAATGCAACAGGTAGACAGTTGCCTGGCTATCGTTAAGTCGCTTAAAGTTAGAAAAGCAACAATGTTGGCTCTTTTGAGTTGGTGACTATCACCAAATATTCACAAGAAATGTGACGTAATAATGACGTGGAAAGGGGGCAGAAATTCCTATTATGTTTTGCTCCTCAATTCAGGAATGTATTTCTGCAACAAGTAGTCTGCCTTAAAGGTGTAGCAATTAACACAAATAATTAAAAAACCTATGATTTAAGACTTACTTACCCTTGACCGCTAAATGTGTGGTGCCGCTGTATAATGTCTGTGTCCGCTGTATAATGTCTGTGTTATACATTTTATGTTATTGATACTTATTGTGTCTTTTTGGATATTTCTGTTACCCCTTTCGAATGTCACACACCTTGTCCATTTCCTCCAGACGCTCGTTTACAGCGGGAAGCATCCATGTGTCTTCCCCACGCAGTCGCTTCTGCTCCTTACGTTTCTGATCTCGCTCATACTCAGCTTTTACCTGGTTTAAATGTTACAATGAACACAATATGTACAAAGCATGTTTAGTATATCTGTTCTCAGTGTTATAGCACTATTCAATGACACATGTTTGCAATATGATGGAAGCAAGAACTTGCAAACAGTTTGTAGCGACTCAAAAGGTTATGTAGGTATTTCAAGTTATCTTCCAGGACTCTTATGTTTCCTACCTACAAGAGCTATGCAAGGTTTTTATTCACCTCACTACTTGACTTTAATTATACAATTGGTATGCAATTGGTGATGTATTACAAACATGTATCCAGTAATCTTGATTTGAAGCTTTCGTGACTGCAGGGATCCATACTCTTTGGTTCTTTTGGTAAAGTCACGTAGGTAGAAAATTACGTGACTTTACCGAAAGAACCAAAGAGTATGTATACAGTATTTAAATAACAAGTTCACCAGCCATTGGTGTTGTGGACATATTCTAAAAATAAGTGCAGTGCTTCTTAAATCCCAACAATGCTAAATAGTGGTTAATGGTTCAACTTATGGTTAGGAAAAGTTCTACTGACAACAGCTTGGCCACGACGTGCATTTACTGAATCTTGGATGTTCAAAAAAATCTTACATTCTTAATTCCTAAATCAACCACAAAGTTCTTCTCTCTAAGACGAGGGTTTTTTTGATAAAACGACAACAATGTGGGAACAAGCTAAACTCATACCTGTCAACCCTTAGCAAGTGTTCAGACCTTATCGGCCACCCTGTGCCCTTATAAATATCAACGATCATCCTACAAAGTTCCATCACAAGGGAGAAACACAAACTAATAGACAAACGTTTTTTTTTTTGCCAGTATTGTAACGGTTGTACGAAGTATGGACATGAAAGCTCGATTTCCCTGTACAAGAACACAGGGTAAGACGCATGGGTTGACAGCTGTGCTAACAACACCTCCCCACAGCCGCCCCACGCTCGGCTCTCTGCCCGCTCCCCCTCTCGCGAACCGGGTACCAAAATTAGGAAAACGGCGAGGAGGCGCTCGAGGCCTACAAAACCAGTCGGCCGCTCGACCGCTACAAAGCACCGACTAATTGGAATTCCGAACCCCCACTGGTCTGTTGGCTCGTCCACACGGGCCGCCCTCCTTTCGCCTCCTCACCTGTGCGAGAACGCCTCGCCTCGCCTCCCTCTTCTGCTCTCTCCGCTCGTCGATGTTCTGAGTGCTTTCGAAAAAGCCTCCGTACGACGCCATGGCCTTGTGCCGTAAAGTTGAATCGGTGCCGTAAAGGCTGATCGGCACCGTCGCCTCCGCCGCCGCCGTCGAATTTTACGACACCACGTGTCCTTGGGGAGTCTTTGAACTCAACACGTGGACCCAAAGTTTGAAATATTGTATCAAGATCACGGGAAAATTACAAATTGGGAACGACAATATAAACGTGTTTTTTTATCATCGCATATTAGAATCACAATCTTGATTTATACTGGAGGAATCCGATGAGCTATGCAGCTCTTTAAACACAGATGTCCAGGAGGGGGCTCACTGGGTCAGACAGTTACAACAACAACAACACAATGCAGACACCGGAGTGCAAAGCATAGGATAGGTAAGCAAGTCACTATAGGTAAATACAAATAAAGTATAAAAGTACGAATTGCAAAAGTTACACCAATGTGTTCCCTTTGCTCATAGTAGCATGGCTCCAAAATAATGTTTAGTAACAATAATTTGGAACAAACACTGAAAGCTGCGCAAATTAACATGGTTAAACAACGCGTGTCATCAATGCCTAGACCTGAAATGTGGTCACTGACAAAACAAGTGGAACAAGAACTGGACAAGTGTGCGAAGCGGCGTGGAGAGATGCATGCTTGGAACAACGTTGGCATAACGTTCAGTTTCGATTTAAATCTTTCGTGACTGCAGGGATTCATCTCCTTGGTTCTTTCGGTAAAGTCACGTAGAAGGGAAATAATGAAGCAATAAAAATAAAACAATAAAATAATTCTCACGACGTTTCGGCCACAACGCAAGCAGCCGTCCTGTCTTTCCGACAGACCTGGTCTTCACCTGAGGACGGCTGCTTGCGTTGTGGCCGAAACGTCGTGAGAATTATTTTATTATGTTTATTTTTACTATTGTATTATTTCCCTTCTACGTGACTTTACCGAAAGAACCAAGAAGATAACGTTCAGTGTTCACTGGGAACAATTCAGAGGCATCGTATTGCAGTGGATAGATAATGGCTAGTAATAGCGATGTGTGTGTTGGATGTACCCTGATCTCATCTAGATCTCCTAGCCTGCTACACGTAATGGAGTATTGAAAACTCAGGAGGAGTATCTTGAGAAAACTCATACACCTGAAGGGACGTGTATGTATTTTAGAGCCTTTAAGTTAAATGAAATGGAAGTAAAAAAAACATTGAAATAATCTTGCCGTATTGATACATCAGTCGTAAATAATGAACGTCCCATGTTGACTGTTTTATGTATGATTTACACTGCAATTTGTCAATATATCCCAGATTGTCAGTCAATATTCCATTTAAAAGTTGTATCAGCATACATTGTGAAGCAGCTAACAATGTACATACAAAGTGTAACATTTATTTTCCTCTAGGCGACTCCCAGAGGAAAATTGGTGCACAAATGTAAAATTACTTTAGGTATACATCTGAACAGTAGATGGCAGCATTTCATTGAAAACTGGGATATTGTTTCGGGTGAATATTTAACTCTTTCCACACAGAACATAATCGCTCCGTAATTGTAACTGCTGTGCAATTGGTTGTGTGTTTAATAGTCATCGGTGAGCGCCCTACCAATTAAATAACAGTTTTCCCACCCACAATTGCATACTGTATAAATAAAATGGTCAATCCAAAACACAAGCGCTTTTTCTCCGTTCAAGCGAGTGTAAAACTCAACCAGCGCATTTAAATCGGGTGTAATGAAGATGGCACTTAAATTGCATCGATAACTGTTAAAACAACAATGTATACAAACTGCACAAACACAGCAGAGTTCATCTAAAGTCTCTTGAACAGGCAAGGGAATGGCTGTAACAACCAAATGCGCTCTCTGCCAGAGAGCACTTGATGGGATCATAAACTGCATTACACGTCGTATTGCCGGGAACAAGATAACATTTCAACATATATGGCCAGTTAAGTCTGCTAATTGCGCCGCTACAATGGCAATAACCATTAATGTATGGAGTGCTCTAATGTCCTAAACAGAGTGCTTGACTTGTGTGTGGTCACGGTAGCTTGAGATAAGATGCTGGCCACATGTATACACAGAGGGTCAATCAAAAGGCTTTTGAAATAGAATATTAAAACATTGTGTGCGTCTAGTGCTTTGATTTTTTTTTCTCCCAGCCACACCAACACTAAGTTATACTCATGTTATTGTGTAAGCAGTGATGGGCATTGAAAGAAAAAAGAAAAATATATAATGTACAGGCTTTTGTCAATCCACTGCTGGATGAAGGCCTATTCACACGATGTTGGGCGTGAGCTGTGACTGAGAATCGAACTCAGGTTTCTGTGTTGATAGCACACTGCGTTAGCCACGGTGCCATCATTACCCTGCATTTATAATAATATAATTATGTCAGCGCCTACTCGAAAAGACGTTGCCGTTTCAGTGGACATGCCACAGCAAACACATGTGGATAGCTGAAATGCCGACATGGTTAGCCACCTGAAAAAAGCAGCCCTCGTGATATTTTTCAAAGCAGTGAACAATTCACGGATTTACTTAGAACTTGGCAAAACAGTAGAGACGTGTAGACCTAATGATAGTGGAGTAAACAATGGCTCAGACACAATAACAGATATCCTAACTAAACCACATAATTTCCCTTTCCATAGTAAACACACTATAGATGTGCCCATTTCATCACTAATATGAATTAACAGCCCAGTTCCAATCCACTGCTGCATGAATGGCCTTCCCACGCCGTTCACGGGTTTGCATTGAAGTTGACTGAATTTGCTTTCTATAACCATGTACTTATTCTACTCGTTAGCCCTACTTGTCAGTGATTTTTTAGCAAATCATTCAAAGTGTGTCTCACTGTCTGTCCCAGAACACCGTGGCCTCCCATGATGCCTTTACTGCTCATTTACGACTTTGGAGGATTTTTTTTTACGAACCGCGAAGGGGATCTCGCCAAGAGAGCCCGGGGAAGGTTATGTTTGAAAGACGATTTTTTTTTATTGCGTCAAAGATTTGTTTGTTTCAGCCGGGTGCGTATTGTTTGCACGGTGAGACAAGTGTGAATGCCAGGTCACCAGGACCCTGACCTGTCTGTGTCTGGCACGCCGTGCAACCTGCGTGGCGTACACATACACACGTGGTGTAATCACAACCGTCTTGACCAGCTGGGAAAGCGAGGGGGGTGGAAAAAGCAGAGTGATCACACTGTGGCTTGAAAACATTTCGTTGGTAACATATGTATGCCACCGTGAGCATGCCACCATATAAAAAAATGTTCCACACCACAGTTAAACAATTGGACCACATCACCCGGAATGTCCCTGATGTTGTCAGTCTCGAAAGCTAAGCAAAGTTAAGCATGAATAGTGCTTAGATTGGGCGACCACCATGCATCAGACAGGTGTTGTAGGTTGCAGTGGAGCGACGTTGTCAGTAGATGACAGTGCATAAAAATATGTTGTTGTACTGTCCAGAATTATGGCCGAGAGTATATGGCATAAACGGTATGCTCCCCGCCTTCACAAACCAGCACTGACTCGTGCATAGTCAATGAACCCCCAGGACCCACACGTGGCGAGGACCTCATAAAGCAGTGGATTGACAAATAGGCACTACATGTACACACAATTTTATTTTTTTACACATTACAGAAAAACTCTACATTTAGAGACATCATATAGACTGTCAAAACAGACGTAAAAATAGTGGTTAGACTAGTGGTCTGTGGGATGGCTGCAAATTCACCAGTTTACACATTCACTTATTCTAATGCCAATAGTGTCTTTATGTAGCTTACACCACTGAGATGTAAAAAGGATGTGAAAACTAGTCACAACGTTTAACTGTGTACCAGTTTTATTGCCTGTAACTACATAAGCAGTTTTTGCCGACACTACCATTTTCTCTGCTCCTGAGTTTTTAGTCTGGACTATATATGTCAGAACAAGCAAGAGTGGGCAAGGATGTTATAGGTGTACTGAAGAAAGGAAGGGTGGGGAGACACGTGATGGAAACAGGCCCACTGGGGGAGCACTGACATCAATCATTAACGCCATGTGGCTGGTCTGGAGGTAGCATTCGAGATACCAGGCTGCCTGCAGAAGAAGAGTTATCAATTTGTGTACACAGCAGTAAAACCTGGGGTGGGGGGAAAAATGACAAAGTTTGCAATCGCCAATACAACCACAAAAATCCACCATGGCTTCAAGCTGATACTGCAATGAGGACAGGTCTATAGATTTATGATGCCGTGCATGCACACTGGGTGGACTTTGGCTATGAGTCACTCCACCTCTCCACTTGCCTTCTTCTTCGTGGTATGTTATTTTTTAAAACGTTTTTGGTAGCTTCATTCTCTTTTAAAGGTATACTTTTCTTCTTCGATTCGCCCCTTTTATATCGCACTGCACCTCCGATTATTGCGGTTGGCTACATACAGTGCGAACTAAGTTCAACATACATACAAATAAAACCAGGTTATTTTTAAACCGTACACAATAAAATTATACAAGAAGAAAACCCGCAAAATCGAAATGTGTGCAGGACAATTTAAATGAGAATATTAAAATTAACAACTAGTTTGAAAATACATTAATCTGTTATCACTGTTAAAAATAAGGAATGCAATAGAATACACTTTTAAAAACGTCCACAATTGCACAATGAATTGTCAAGCTTCGTTTGTAAAATGTTCCATTTGCGGCTTTTAGTGGAAACATTCTGTACATTAACTCAACCACATTGTATTAATTCTCACACTTTTTACGCGAAATGTACATGCGGTTACTTTGCAAACAGCACCTCATTGCACAATCGACGTATCACTCTCTCTAAATGGCCACCGATTGGGCTGTTCACCTTCGACATATGTACAGGCGAGGCAGAGCCAGGGCCCTTTACAGCCTCAGGTGTGTGATAAAACCTGGCGTTATCTTTAGCCAATCGCCTCTCAGAAGAGATCGCTACCATCTGGGAGAACCAATGGAAACTGCAACGAATCAATATCGGCAGTGATGGCTCATGTTTGGACTGGATAACATTG